TGGTGAAGCTCAGGCGAACATTCGTCGTGCCGATCTGCTGCCTAGCATCAGATCTCAGCTCAATGATGTGGCCGTCACTGGCGTCCGAACGATGCACTTCTCTATTCAGCGCGACGCTACCAAGCCCCTCAACGTTACGCACGACTATCAGGTTTTCAACCTTGAGTCCAAGGATTTCTCCTTCCACCAGATTGATGTTCGCACTGGAGCCGACAACGGCAACGAGATCGCGGTCTTTGGTAACTCCAAGACAACTCCGGCTGCCAAGATCTTCTCGACACCGTTCGGCGAGGGCCAGTTCGAGAACTTTGCCATCAAAATGGACTTCAATGCCAAGTATGTGCTTCTTCACAGTATCCTCTCTAGTGAATGTTCATTGACTAAATGTGTTCCATAGCACCGTCCAAGTGTTCCACAGCACCGCCAATGATCCTTTGAAGCAGGTCACTGAGCCTGTCGCCAATGGCAAGTGGTACCTTACCCAATCATGGAGAGACTGCCAGGCTAACAGATTGCAGATCTCGCCGGTCTTGGCGAATACCACTTCTCTCTGCAGAAGAACCCCGTTGGAACTGCGACTCAGCCCACTGGCATCAAGGAGGCAATCATCTTTGGCGGCATCTTCATGGAAGACTCCACCTCCGGAACGGTTACCCTTCAGTAGTTGTTCTAGTTGTTCAACTCAACTTTTGCAGAAGGCAATATGTTATGGCCAGCATCAGGCGTCAAGAATCAAAAATCAATTTAGAGCTTGCCGCTTCGCCGCACTAGAATTGCCAACATGAATGATGATTTGTTCTTAGAACCAGACGAGATACTATGTAGCATTTCAAGCTCCCCCATGGTTTTTATCATCTATCTTCGCAGTTATTAACGTCGAAAGTCTTAATGGTCATCTGCGTAACGGCGTAGATCTTAAACATGCAGGTGAAAAAATCAGAAGACCTTTTCCCTGCGCATGAAAATACTGCACACCAAGCAAATTGCTCCAGCAGCAATGATTGGCACATAAGCCAATTGAATTGCTCGAGTGATGCCATGGATTGCCTCAGCTCTCACCTCGGGTGAGGCCGAGTCGATCAAGCCGCTACCCACGCCTGCGAGGGCGTCGGAGATCACGTCGGCAGAGACATCAGGGAACACTTGCGCCAGTGCACGTTGGCCATAGTTGACAAAAAGCGCTCCTGACATGCCCGTGCCGAGGACGATGCCGATCATTTGACCAACAGTCATGAACCCAACACTGTAAGGGATCTCGTTCGGTTGAACCTTCATCTGGGCAACGGCGAATCCAGCTTGGCAGAAACAGCCGACGCCTGTGCCTAGGATGATGGTGTATCCGTAAATCTTAGCATTTGAGGTGTGTTCATCGACGATGTCTGATTGCAAAGGTCAATAGACGTGCGTTGGAAGAATAGGGCCATGGCTTACAGAGAAGAACGCCGCCGATAAGTTCGAGAGCTGAACCGGCGATGTACCATGGGTAGTAGTATCCAGTACGTCCCATAAATTGCCCATTGAGTAGATTGAAGGCTACTAGAAATAAGATGAAAGGTAAGAGATGGACGGATGTCTCAACTGCCGAAATTCCGCGGGTAAACTGATAATACAGCGGCAGGTAGAAGATGCCAATGAAGCTTCCGAAAGTCGCAAGCACTGATAGTCTGGTATTAGTAATTGCGGGGATTGGGCAAACAGGACGGAGCGAAACGTACTCATTGTGAAGAAAAGGCAAATCATGGTTCGGCTCTTCCAGAAATGCATGGGAAACAGACGATTCTCTCGCGATGTGCCAATGAAGTAGACTTGCTGCAAGACGAAGAGAATAATCAAAACACCCGCTGCCACAAACAAGCCAATGCTTTCGCCCTCGTTCCAATCCCAAAGAACCCCGCCAAAGTTCATGGCCATGATAACGCAGAGCATAGCACCAATGGACAGAACGGTACCAACGTAATCGATTTGCGCCAAGCGTTGAGTGAGAGGCACGCCAGCTTGCGGTTTGAAGTCTGGAAGTAAAATGATGTAGATTGGTCCCACAACAGCACCGACCAGGAGGTTCAGATAGAAAGCCCAACGCCAAGTGGCTTTGCTCTCGCTGATGGCACCTCCAACCACGGGACCGAGAACAGTACCAATGCCCCAGATGAATCCGGTAAGACTCAGATATTTGGGACGTTCGACATTAGTGGTAGTCACTGACAACAGTGTGAGGAGTCCCATGTACATTCCGCAACCACCCGCACCCGCGATTGCGCGACCGACAATGAAGGAGTTGATGTCGGGAGCGGCGCCGCAGAGCGCGGAGGCGGCCATGAACACAGTCGTAGACCCAAGATATAACTTCTTAGCCGAAAAGGTTCCGTATGCTTTCGACCAGGGAAGAGTCGTGGCCGCTGAAGCCAATGCGAACGAAACACCAAGCCATGGAACGAGATCGACGCGGTGGTATGTCTGGACGACTTTTGCTTGGACATTGGCGACAACAGTGTTGTCTAAGGCGTAGAGGAATAATGCGGAGAGGAGGGCGCAAATTATGAGGAACCACTGAAGAACAAACACCTTAGCTCAGTTTTCACAATGCCTTCGGGGGACGGGAGGGGGCTGAGAGGGGCTGGCAGGATGATACAACATACCTTGACACCGTGAATAGTTCGTGGCGGATCAGCATCTTGAGCCCCGTTGAGTATCTGAGTGTCAACAGCTTTTTCCTTGTCTGACGGCTCTGATGATGGCGAAGGTGGTGTCAAGACGCCTTCGTGACTCGGTACGGCCTCCTTCTTTTCCAAATCAGCCATGTTGGATTGTGAATCCAGATAGAAGCCTCTAGAGACTTCGAAGTAGTTTCTTTGTGGTAAAGTCAAGAGAAGTAAGTAGAAGAGGGAGGACTGTGAGAGAAATTTTCTGGCAATTTGATTGAGATCAGCTTGTGACGTTTAGGCCTCTTCATGGCAGCTTCGTATATGTAACACGCCCGGAATTGACTACATCTACGATCTGTCTATCGACAGGATCGAAGCAAAACTTTGCAAGTAAACATAAACTCCACGGCGATTAGAAATCAGCTTGCCGAATAAGGAAGTGCCATTATTGCGAATCGAGAATACTACCTATGGCGAATCTCTCTTGCAACGGGTAGTGGGCCTGCCCCCCCGGTCCGGGCCGTCATAAGTAGGACCCGCGATGCGGCTTTGCCGCAGAAGACCCCTAGGATTTGCTGCAGTGCTAAACTTTAATCCTGCTGCACTGTGTAATAATATGTGGCTGTTGACAGGGCTAGAGACCAGATTTGTCGATGAGGTATAAGTCAAGGATGCTTTGCATCATCGCGCCCTGGAAACGTTTACGTGTTGCGGGAGACCCCCACGGAGTGAGGGTTGAAAAGCTTGTCAAAAGCAACGATGAGCATGCAACACATGTGACTTAGACTTCAAGATCATGTCATCGCTCTTTCCACATAGCCATAATACAAGGACAGATCCGTCGTTGCCAGACTCCAAGTTGCAAACAAGTCTTTCTGTTTTGGACCCCAAACTGATTTACACCATTTGTTTTGTCAAGATTTCGGACTCGAGCCAATCATCATGATCATCACGCAGTCTCAATCTATGGCTGACTCGCCGACGCCTGTCCGAATCCATTATTCCCAGGCAGAAGGTGCAGCTCAGGCTGTCGACCCTGGCAAAGTTCTCGTGTCTTTCCTCGTCTCTCCGATCAACCCACAAGATTTGCTGGTCATTGCAGGTCGATATCCCGTGAAACCATCTTACACCCACGATGGCGAGCCCGTTTTGGGTTACGATGGCGTCGCGCGAGTTGAGGTTGTAGGAGTCGAATCCTCGTCCTCGATGACCCCGACCTCAGCGCTACGGCCCGGCGATCTCGTCATCCCGCGTCGCCATGGTCTAGGAACTTGGCGAAGTCAGGCTATTCTCAACTCTGCCGATGTGATCCGCCTTTCACCTACGGAGGATCTCATCGGTGCATCGCTCCTTCGCATGGCGTTCTTGCCTGCCTACCTCCTTGTTGAGGATGTGAGAGCGCTGAAGCCTGGCGACTGGATTGTCCAAAACATAGGATCTGGGACCATCGCGCGACTGGTTTCTCAGTTTGCTCGCATCAAAGGTGTCTATACTGTCAGTATTGTACGCGACCGCAGTCTGGACGCTTTAGAGGCCCTGAAGTCCGACCTGCTGAAAGACGGGGTTGATGCCGTCCTAACCGAGTCTGATCTCCAAGCACGAGGTGCCGATGCGCATCCTGCTCTTGCCGACGCGGCGGGCCGCAATCGTGTGGCCCTAGCCATCGATGGCGTCTTCGGGGAGCCTGGAGAGCGACTCGCGTCTTTGCTCTCCCATGGAGGGACTTATGTGAACTATGGATCCCTTGGCGGGGCGGATGCGGTCTTGCGTCTTTCGCAGCGCCTCTTGTTCTGGTCTGAGGTCAAGTTCCGCAACTTTCGACTTTCAGAGCAGCTCATTCAGCGAACACCCGCGCAACTGGAGTCTCTCCTACTCTGGTTCCAGGATCTCCTGGCTCAGGGTGCACTGGTGACACCCAAGGTGCAAACTATCCAAGTTCCGATCTCAGCCGAGGGAAGAAACGACTTTGAGCAGAGCATCAATGCTGCCGTCTCTTCTGGCTTCGGAGCGGGAGTAGGGGATGCAAAGCGCGTACTGGGGTTTACCCATACTTTGGCGAGACACTGAGATTGGATGTGTAGATTAAGGTAGTGAATTTTGAACAAATCCACCCAGGTACCCATGCATTCAGCTCGGGACATGTGTGTACATGTTGGATGATTCCATCGGTTTGGAAAAGTGTGCAAGTCATTAGAGCCTGAAGTACTCTTACGTGACAAAACTTATACAGAATCTGTCCAACACGCTGATCAAGAGCAAAAGCAACCTTGGGAGTTCCATTAGCAATTTTCATTGAGATTCATTTTACTAAGTATCATGATGCATCTCTATTGCAGGCCCTCATCTCTACCCACAGTTTCAGTCTACATACTGCTTCTCCTTCTCAATGGTCTTGGCGTTGTATTTGCGCAATTGATTCTCCAACCCTGGGATCGGTTCATCAAAGTCAATGCGAGCACTGTTCATGAACCTGGCCAAGAAACTATAGATGCCCTGCACGTAGAAGATCTCCGTAATCTCCTCATCACTGAAAGTCTTCTTGGCTTCGACAATGGTATTCTCTTCAACTTTATTCTCGCGCCCGAGAGTAGTAACAATGCGACCCAGAAGGCGTTGACGCGCGGTGAAGAGACCCTCCGGCAAAGGCTCGTGGGCCTTGCGCAGAGCAGCGAACTGTTCTTCGGTGAAGCCGAAAATACGAGCAACGGGCTCGTTCACATCCCACTCGTAAGGAGCATTCAAGGTGGCTGCAGTGCGTAGAACGATGAGCTGCCAATCAGTGGAACGAATCTGTCGCTGCTCACTCCAAGCTGAGGACAAGAGGTTCATGAACGGTTTAAAGAACACATTGCTGTTTGCGAGAAGCTGTATTTACTGGCGTCAACATCGAGGTATTCCAAAGGTTCTGCTACACTATTGAGATATTTGTGGGGTCTCAATCGCACCTTGAAAACATTTCTCTCAAACGGAAGAGTTTGGAGAGCAGCCTTGATATCGGGCTGGGCTGTGCTCGAGTCAACGTAAGGCAGCAAGTGCTCGTTCGTGACGGTACGATCATCCCAAGAAGCCATATTCGCAGATGAAATACTGAAATCTTGTGAATAGTTGGAAGGATAGAAGACTAAGTTGACGAGTTGATTGTTGTAGAATGTAGAACATGGTGACGAACAAACTTTTAACTACCCGGTCTTTAAACGACGTTGAGAGCGTTGTCTTCCGTCATTATCATCAACACCATCTCATTCTCTCCCCATCTTGCATCATCCCACCAATGACGCCATGTGTTGAGCAGATGATGACCTGCTTGATATTCCCTCCTTGAACATGGTCATCTGTTAGAGTTTGAGTTGAAGCGATTCGATAATATGCGGCTCAAGCCTCCGGTTCATCTGATGTGGAGAACGAACAAGGAGGATAGCTACGGAGAACACAGTCAAACGAACACTGTGTGCGCGGGGGTTACATTTTGCTCTCGTTGAAGACTCCATCTGAATCGATTCAGGAACCGCAACCCTGTCAGCGAGACCATGTTTTTCCTGCCTCTTCAACCCATTCGGAATTATCGTAATATGGCGGCCCCTGTCACGTAACATCATTCCTCTTGTCACTAACGACGTCTCCCCGATCGACAAGCTATAAAGCAGACTCTCATGCACAGCATGGGTTGGAATCTTCAAGGGCCACGAGCGTCACGCCTGCCGCGCTTCCGTCCGGCACGTCGAATAGCATGCCAGTTTAGATGCTAGGATAGTTGGATGTATAACGAGATCTCTTGAACAGGATATGATGGGACGGGACATGACTCATATGATCAATCTGAGTATCATCCACGCATGCTCTTCCTCATGTTGATGTCTTCTTTCATAGCCTGAGGGGGACGGCTGAAACCAGCGGGTCTCGGTGTTCCCGCCATTCTGTTCGTCACTAATTGATGATTCTCACTTCCGATTGTCGTTAGAAGATTCCTTGTAATTGAATCTGGATGGAAGAAGGCATTTCTAGGCGCGATGGAGTCCAGAACGTCTCTCCTCGACGTTCCAATGAGCCATTTTCCAACCACCTCCACACCGAACGTGACTCTTGATGTAGCAACGAAAGTGCTGTCACGGCAGACAAGTTTGATCCCTCGCTGGAAATTTTCATTCTCTGCGCCGAGTACCTAAGGACACGGAATTTGAATCGGCCTTATCGGAAAGAAGTCAGCTGAAACTCCGCAAAGACTGACTCGAGGTGGAATCTTAAGTTGTCTAGACGCCTGAGGGTCACCTTGCGCGTCTTACAAAGTCTGGTTAATCTATCACGCGATGATGGTCACTCGCATCAAGAGTGGCACATCTACAAAGTTGCACGACCCTGGTCAGAAGTAGCACGGAGTTTCAGACGGGTCAATAGTTCCGATATTTCGACTCGTAAACGCATCCATGTCGGCGTATGGCCCGATTCGAGACAAGGTCGTAAAGTTGGCGTCGACGTTGAGGACGCAGGTCGAAGGGAGCACGCCATATCTTTACCATAAGGAGCTCAAAATGCGACTCGTGAGCTTTTCCTTCCAGCTTCTGGATCTTTGAGGCAACTTTTGTCTCTATATTCGCAATCGTCTAGAAAAGTGACGAGATGCGTTCTCCAGGCGGAAGTCGGACGATGTGGCGATGCTCGGGCTAGCCTGGGTGAAACTTGCTGCAGGCTGTGACACACAAAGCCCAAAATCGCTTCCGCGCGGGTACCTATGGGTTGATAGTGATGTAGAGAACCTGAGCCGTATGCTTGTGGAACTCCCATGCTATCACTGAGGAGAAATCCCATCGGAGGCAAGATTCACGGATGGGCAACGGGCGGTTGGTTGGAACGCTCCGGGGCTTGGTATAACAACGCGAATGCGTTGAATTGACTTGTTTTATTTATAAGCTGGATGCTTTGCTCGTAATGATGAAAGACAGTATTCTACAGAAATACAGTCAATCTTTTGCGTCTGAACTGCAGCATTTCCAATCTCATTATCTGCATTTTCCACCCTCTTAGACCTTTCGTTACCTCAAGTCTTTGACTGCTACAATGCAGTTAATCCGGCATATCGAAAAACATGAGGATTTCTTCCTCCCTAGCGCCGATGACCTTGCTTTCGGCATCCACGACAAGCTCTACGGTAAGGAGAGCTCTTTAGCCTTTTCAGAGGTTGAAGTCAGGTTTCCTGCAACGGAGATTCAGCAGGGAATTCTCACTGAAGATGTCCAATGGGCGGAAGTTGAACTTTTTGCTGGGAAGCCATCTTCCTTTGGTCTCGAGAACATCTTCAATGCTTGGAACTCTCTAGCCTCACACCGTAAGTCTCATATCTCTTGACATCCTTTCGACTACTAGCTCACTCTAAACTCTCCTTTTCATCAGATATCTGTCTGAGATCCTACATCACAAATGATACCGACTCAGGCCAACCGCAGGTCGTAGTTCTCCGCAGGGTCGAGGGCATCCGATGGGACCATCCTGACAAGAACCCGGATGAAGACAATCAGACTCCAGCTTATGTGACTGTTAAGAGCACTCGCCGGCGGGATGCCATCAGCCTGGTACTTCACTTTCATCGTGCTCTGATCGATACAACGTCTTTGCACATGATCAAGCTCGACTACGCTCTTCAAGTCCATGGGCTACCCAGCCTCGAGACTGCAGGATTTGCCACATATATACGATATCTCCACCATCAAAGACAGAATATTGGAGCTTCCAGGGCTTTTTGGACTGAAGCCCTGTCCGGCCTCATCCCCCGATCCGTATTCAGTGCTCACGCTGATGAATACACTCAAACTACCGCCAGAGGTAGACATGGTGTCAGCGCTGTTATCAATGGGCCAGATTTAGCGCAACTCAATGATCTTGAAGCTCACCACGGCTTGGGCTCTTGGCGTCAGACATTCTTTGAGGTCGTTTGGGCACATGTGATCAGCACTCATACCGGCTCTGACGATGTCACTTTCGGTACGGTTCGCCGGGACGATAGCTTCATCGGCTCAAACAACTGCGTTGGTTGTGTTGATCAAACATATCCTGTCCGCTTCCATGGCGAGAGCGATGGGGGCTTGGCTATCAGTGAAGCCTGCAAGACTCTCGACGGCTATCACAACCAAGCTGGTCGCCATGCCTTTGTAGGACTCGAAGAGATCCAGCGTCACGCCCCAAGCCTCGGTTTGGTCGAAACCGCTGTCAGTTATAGTCAAACGACGAACACGCCGTGCATTGCTCCCGGGCTTCGGAAATTCCCCGTCGTTCTATGTATCAGCGACAGCGAGGTATTGAGACTCACTCTTAAGTGCAAGTCCTACATCCCTCTTGAAGAGATTGAGGTTGTCCTGCAGCACTTCGTCGCTGGCATCGTCAGTGCCGCGTCCAAGTTGAAGAAGTCAGGCGAATGCAAGCTGTTAGCCTCTGATCTTGGATCTGAAGATGAGCAACGGTTCATCATGTCACAGTCCCTGTCAACACGCACTGCAGAGCCTACGACTATACCTCATCTGTTTGAAAAGACCGCCGCTGCCTTCCCTGAGAGAATCGCAGTTGAGTCGGAAAGCAGGGCACCTGTCACATTTTTCGAGCTCAATAGCCAAGCCAATTTGCTCGCGAGAAGACTCAAGCTGGAAAAGGGGTCCTTCGTACCCATTCTTGCCGAGAGGTCTGTGGAGCTTGTCATCGCAGTCCTGGCCGTGCTCAAATCCGGGGCGGCCTACACCATTCTCGATCCCAACACTCCCTCCAGCCGCCTCGAACACATCGTGGAGGATCTCAGAGCTGCCACTGTCTTAGCTGGCCATAAATTTGTCAATTTGCTCTCCAACGCCTTAGACATTGAGCACACACTCTCTTCTCCAGGAGACAATTTAGCAGCTTCTTCATCTGATGAGCTGGGTAATCTTAGCATCGACATCCACCCGGAAGACCGTTGCTATGTGATTTACACCTCTGGAAGCACAGGCAAGCCCAAAGGTGCCGTTCTCACACATCGTGCGGCTACGAGCGGCATGGCTTATCAGTCTCTGAACGGTCTTGAACGGTGGCTTCTATTCTACAACCCCAGCTTCAGCGCTGCTCAGCGTACCATCTTGGGAACGCTTATCCACGGAGCCACTTTGGTCCTTGCTAGTCAGGAATCTCTGAATAGTGACCTTGCCGGTGTCATCAAAATGTTCTCAGTTGACTCCCTTGGTATCACTCCGTCCGCTTTGTCGCTTTTACAGCCTGATGAGGTGCCTAGTCTCAAGCAAATCACCTTGGTTGGTGAGCAGATCTCGCGAGATCTTGTTGAGATCTGGTCAGCGCAGAAGGGCCTACGTCTGAGGAATACCTATGGGCTTAGTGAGTGTACCCAGCTCAACTTTGGAAAAGAGCTGCAACTGTCACTTGGAGGGACTTTCAACCACCGCTTAGTCGGCTCTCCGACCGATACTACAGATGCGTTTGTTCTAGCTCAAGATGAAGATCAAGATCAACTTGCGCCTCTCCTAATTGCGGGCGAGCTTTGTCTAGCTGGTCCACAGCTCGCTGAAGGCTACCACAACGAGACAGCGCTCACAGCACGCTCCTTTGTCGACAACCCATTTGGTACCGGCAGGCTCTATCGAACTGGTGACAAAGCCCGTCGACTTGCTGATGGTCAGATTGAGATCTTGGGGCGGGCTGATATGCAAGTCAAGATCAATGGCCAGAAGGTTGATCCCGCAGAAATTGATCGGCTATTGCGCTCTGTCGATGCCATTACCGCATCCGTCACTCTCGGCATCAGTCTGAATGATGGTCGCAAAGTCCTGGCTTCAGCTCTGGTTCTTTCAGGCGACATCACCTTTAGGAGCTCGGTGATTTCTGCCAGGGAGCTCTTACACCAGGGCTTGCCTGCCTATATGGTGCCCAGCATCTGGTTTCCTGTTGAGAAGATTCCCAAGAATGCCAATGGAAAGATTGACTATCCCTTCCTCCGCAACTCTGCCGAAAAGTTAGGGGCCTCTGGGTTTGCTAGGCTCATGGATATGGGCGACGGCGACGACGATGTGGTTAACGGAGCATCCAATAAGGCAGAGGCTGCCATCGCATCGGCTTGGTCAAGCGTTCTGAAGATCGAGCAATCAGTCATCAAACGATCGCACTCATTCACGGACTTGGGTGGGTCATCCATTGAAGCTATCAAGGCTGTCTC